AATAAAACCACCTCAAAACACTGAAAAAAAAATCTCGGTGTATTTACTAAGAAAAGGGTAAAATTACCAAGAATTCAGGGTTCTATTTGATCCCAGTTTTTTCTTGGTAAAATTACCATTTATGGAATTGGTAATTTTACCGAGAAATCCCGGTAAAATTATTGAACTTTCTCGGTAATTTTACTGGACCCCAGTAAAAACGCCAATATTTTTTATCGACTGTGGTAGAATTACCGAGATAAAATGGCAAAGTTACCGGGAATTGATTACCAATAAAAGTGGTATTCTTCCTGAAAAAAAACCAGTAAAAATACAGGTTTTTAGGTAAGCTTACCAGTCTGTCTCGGTAAAATTACCAATAATTGGTAAAAAAGTGAGATGGTAAAGGTACCAACGGACTGTGGTAAAAACGCCGAGAATTTTTTTTTTTTAGTGTGAATGAGCAAAAAAAGAGCGTTAAGATGGCAACATGGAGGACCATAGGCAAAGCAAGCAAAGTTGGAGATGGAGTGGCAAAGAATGATGATTTTCACGGTTGGCCGACCTTTGCCCTGAGCCTGGGCGCAGTGCATTGTGCCTCTAACTCCATCCACACATGCTACATGAGTCATGAGAGGACGCCGCGTACAACCGCGGATTCTTGACACCAGTTTCCTCCGATTTTCATCGGTTTTTGCGCGATGTTGCCAATTCAAACGTTCGAACCCTCGTCGGGGAACGGTGAAAAGTTGAAATTTTTTGGCCATCTGGGAGCCGCAGTCGCACGGTGGCGGCGTTCCCTGGGAATTCTGCCCCTTCCCAGAGCTACGAAGGCATTCCCCTGTCCGGACAACGGCCTTCCGTCTTTCTTTGTCTTCAAGTTCAGTCGTCATGTTACGTCACACTCTCGTAAAATTATTGGCTGGGAATAGTGGATAGGGTAGATAGGGCACAAAGGAAAAATTTCCATTCGAGTCAATGGGGCATTGGCGGATCCAGCAAATGGACCACCAGACAAGGTACGAATTTAAGCATTCTGACACATGTTCCTTAATCAGAATTTCACGCAGAGCACAATTCGCGCAACGAAAACTAATGAAACAAACTCCAAACAAAGATATTAACATTTTTATTTCATATTGGTTACGAGGAATTTGAACTGCCCGCTCACAAGAAACTCAAAGCTCTACGTGAGTCAAATCGCGCACTACAACGGTTTCAGCGATCTCCTCAATCGAGCAATGTTCATTTCCCACCATGTGTTGTTCAAACTATAAATAATTTGCTATAGCTGAGCCAAAGTGTCAAGATTGAGGTCGCCAGATATTTATATCGCAGAGACTGTCATGATAACGTTTAGCGCACGATGTGAATCACGCAGAGCATTGAGTTTTCATGAGCGGGTGGTTTGAATTCACGCATCAAGAATCATTAAATGTCTTTAGAAGGAGTTGATTTCGGTAATTTTCGTTGTGAGCGTCGTATTTTACGTGAAATTTTAGTCTAGAAACATGTATCAGAATGCTAAAATTCGTACCTTGTCTAGTGGTCCATTGGCAACATTGTCTCTTCTTTATTTAACCCTACGGACATGTATCTGCCGAGGGCAAATACTAAAATCAGGCATTTTGTCAAATACCTAGGCAAGTGGCCAAATATTCTTACTTAGATTGAAAATTTGATTTTTTACGCTAATTTTCGACAAAATAATTCGTTGCGCCTGTAAGAAAGAATTCTCGGAAAAAATATGCAGCGTACAATAGTATTTTAAACGATTTTAAAATCCGGAATGCATATTTATCATGAAATTTTCAGCACGTCACATACCAAAATTTTAACATTCAAATGTACTAAAGGCATGTAAAAAGGAAGGGACAAGGAGAGTTCGCGGATTTGAAGAGTTATTCTTCCCAAAATATTGAAAACCTGTGAACTCCTCGCCATTTTACAGAATTCCGTAAACTGTCATTTGACCACCGGCCTAGGCATTTGATAAATGCCTGATTTGAAAAATTGCCCTCGACATATCGATTCATAGAGGGGCCATGTTCAGACAAGAATCTATTATTTAGAATAGGTTTGAAAGGAGGAACTCCGGTGTTGCCGAATTGCTGGATCCGCCTCTGGAGTTGAATTTATTTTTTTCCGCAAGAGAATGCTCTTTAAAGTAGCCTGGCTTTTCTCGATGTTCCAAAGGCAATTCTAGTGTGGAAAATATTAATTGGACCTTCCCGTTGATCCAAAAGGCTGCGTGTTATTTTCATAATTTTTTTAAACTGCGAGAGCACCTTTAATGGACCACTAGATAAGGTACAAATTTCAGAATTCTGATACATGTTTCTCAACCAAAATTTCACGTAAAATACGATACACATAACTAAAATTACTGAAATTAACTCCTTACGAAGATATTAAATGATTCTTGATGCGTGAATTCAAATCATCCGCTCATGAAAACTCAATGCTCCACGTGATTCACATCGCGCGCTAAACGTCATCATGACAGTCTCCACGATATACCAATCTGGCAACCTCAATCTTGACGCTTTGGCTCAGCTATAGCAAATTGCCTGTAGTTTGAACGACACATGGTGGAAAATGTACATTGCTCCATTGAGAAGCTTGCTGAAACCGTTGTAATGCGCGATTTGACTCACGCAGAGCTTTGAGTTTCTTGTGAGCGGGCAGTTCAAATTCCTCGTAACCAATGTGAAATAAAAACGTTAATATTTTCGTTAGGAGTTGGTTTAAGTAATTTTCGTTGTGCAAATCGTGCTCTACGTGAAATTTTGACCAGGAAACATGTATCAAAATGCTTAAATTCGTGCCTTGTCTAGTGGCCCATTCTTCATTTGGACTGCATTTTGCAATTTGGAACTATAAATTCTGGCTCCTCTGGAAAAACACTTCTGTGCATACGGAAACTAATGGCGCATATCGACGGTGAAACTACCAAACCACGTATCTCGTTTGCGGTGTTTAAAAATCTACGCTCACATTTTATTTTTTTGAAGTAGACCAAATCAATATCATTCCTTGAAATTTTCACGGAATTTTCTCCGCACAAAGAGGAAAAATCACAGAAATTTTCAAGACTGGATGTTAAGTAGTTTTTCATTTAAAAAATAAAGTATGACAGGAAGTCTGCGACGTCGCAAACCGAGATACGTGGTTTGGTAGTTTCACCGTCGATATGTTGTTTTTAAACCGGGCTAGAATTTATAGTTCCAAATTGCAAAATGTAGTCCATTTATACTTCGAGGACATATCTTATGCAAATAGTTGCTCCACAAATCATGCCCAACACATCATATCAAAACTGAAGCACAAAAAATACCCAATCCTACGTCTTTCTGCAACTTTTCGTGCCCAGGAGATATCTTCATAGTATATAGGAGGAATAGAAGGCGCTCTTGTTATTTTAGACCCTCGCCCCTCGCAGTAGAGCCCGCCATTGGCGCCGCCGCGTCGCGGGTGAGACTTGACATCCAAAATGTCTTCTGTCAGTCAAAATTGTTTCTCGTTCCAAAGGCTTCTGTCAACCCCTGATTTAATCGGGCTGTAGAAAGAAAGGATGAGAAATTCTTATGATATAATAGAAAAAATATGGTATTCGGAGCCTTTGATTTTAACCATCCTGTGCTTGACGCGGCAGGGGGCTTCCTGATGAAACTTAAACGCGCGATGATTTTGTCCACGCATTTTGTCCTCTTTATCTTTTCAATTTTTCAAGGCACATGCTCTGAAAACACGTGCATTTCCGTTTTGCAATATGCTCATTGCACATGCATTTCCGTTTTCAGTAAATACTTTTGGGGATAGCTATACAGCTCTTGTGAATCATTCGAGGACGGATGAAGTGGTTTCTTTTAGAGGCTCTTTAGTTACTTAATTTCCAAAATAAGGATATGTACGAGTTTAAATCCAGGTTCGAAATGAGAATTTATAAAATTATGTACGTGAGTAAATCCGTGCAGTTGCATGGCATTTGCTGAATGTATATGTCGCAGGCAATTAGCCGGCACTTTGCAAGCGGTTCACACGTTGTTTGAATAAATCGCAATAATGCCCATCGGCATAATGCAATTTTTAAGGGTTATGGTCTTCAAAAGTATAAGCTCGTCTTGAAGCGCCTTCATTGTTTGCGATACACTACGCTTTGTCACGATGTTAGTTTAGTTGCCTATCCGATCTCAACCCAACTAATGTCACCGAGTTCACTGCACGTTCTTCTGAGTGTGCTTATTCCTGCCATGTTTTTAAGGATGGAAAAGTGTCTATTCACATTATAGGTAAGATAATCAGCTCTCTAATCTTGTTCTTTTATTTTTGAATTTCATGATTTTCTATATTTATTAACCACTGGCTTGTAAATTGCCAGCGATTGCCAATTGCCTGCAACATATACAGGCCTGAAAGGATTTCGACTGTACCTACATGTATAAAAAGAGAAACAAAACTAAAATTTCCCTTACAAACTTATTAATTAATTTGGTAAAAATGATATCGTAGAACTTCCAAATTGGCATAAAATTGCCAATTCATTATCTTTGCTTATTTTTCTGCAGCCCTTACAAAAAATTACCGTCTCCCCACCTTACAAGATGAATTAAAAAAAAGAAGATTGATTTTCGCATTGAGATGTCACCTTTCTAACTTCTCTTTGATCTGCACAGCTAAATTCATAGACAAAGCTATAGACAAAGAAGACAATAAAAGGCATGGAGAGATCTTCTTGGTGGAAGTAGGACAAGCGGGTGGTTGCAATGGACAAAGGAGGTAGATTATAGACTAACTAGCGGCAACCCACGAGAAACCCGATAGTTTGTCCATCATTTTCTCCCTTAGTCTATAGGAACCACCCATTTCAACCAATAGAATCGCTTCATACTCCCTATATCTTCTTTGTCTATAGCTTTGTCTATCAATATCAATAATTAGCTCACAGACCGCATTTTAGTCATTTTCAAATGTAGAGGTCTAACATAAAGTAAAAAAGTACATTGTTAAAAATCATTTACCTTATGCATTTTACTATCCTCGAAATTCAGGCAACCGGTGTAAAAACGTATCACTTTTCCACCGCCAAAACCCGATCAGGAACCATTTTCCTCTCGATCAAGAAGAAAAACGAGAGAACATTTCCGACAATGAGATACGGGCGCGAGGCTTTGTTTCTTGTACCCCAGCAAAGGAAGACCCAACGGAAGAAAAAAGGAACATCGACGACAAAGGAGCTAAATTCAGTCGGAATTATTCACATGAATCGAACCTGAAGTCATCCGATTCAGAAGCACCAACCGAGTCACCATAAAAAAACCGATTTATTGCACTGTTTTTATCTTCGTTTTTTGATCCAACCCGATTCGGTGTGATAAAAAAAAAAAAAAAAAAA